AATAAATAAATAAATAAATAAATAAATAATTATTTATTCAGTTTTTAATATCCTGCTTCTCCTTGAGGAGCTCAAGGTGGTGTTCAGAGCAATCTCTCCTCCCAACCATAATCCTGTAAGATTGGTTGGGCTGAAGGGGACTCACTGGCTCAAAGTCAGCCAAGTGAGTTTCTGTGGTTCAGTGTCTCCCGGGTCCCATCCAACACACGGACTACTAACCCACACCGTACTTAATGACACGGCTGTCTCCCAAGCCCTATGGCCAACATCATGCCATCACTGGGTTTCTTAGTGGAAAAAACAAGGGGCAAGTGGACCCTGTCAAATGATTCCCCAACGTCTACATCCAAGGATTAGGATGCTAAGCATGGAACAGTCACCTAGACAAGCAGATGTTCCCAGAGGCAGACTCCTAAAGTTGCCCAACAGCGAGCCATATTTGGCGAGCGTACTTAAGGCCCAAGCTATGAATTTCACTGCGAGGCCTTTTGCAACCCACAAGTTCTTAACCCAACTCTTTTTAATAGGGCTTTGGTTTATTTAATTTATTCATTAAATTTATATGCTGCCCGACTCCCCCAGAGGGTGACTGCTGCTGAGCAGGGACTACCCTCGGCCAAAGGAAGCGATAACCAATGTAACAAGCAGGTGGCCATGAAAGAGCTCTCTTCCTTCCCAGCTTTTTATCTGCGCAGTTTGTATCTCAGTGAGTTTTCTCAGAAACGTGCTTGCTATACAGACAGCGATGTGGGATCTCTCCATCCAGAACAAGGGAACTCCCACGACATCACCCTGTGCTTATGGCCCCTTTCAACAATAGATACCGCCCTGCCCCTCCGAGAGGAACGTGGTACTTGCCTGAAAGCCTTGTAAACTGGCCGATACCAACACAGGAAAGCACAGGGGGTGAACAAAACAAACCATAAGATAGACAGGCCGAACCCTGTTCCTGCGCTCTCGGGTGACACGATGAACAGCGCCAGGCAGGCAAGTAGGTTTAACAGCAGGGTGACTGAGTGAACTGGCCAGGATAGAAAAGAAAATGCAATCAGCAAAAAGGCTTTGGTGAAGATCTGAAATGCCTGTGAAGCTCTTTGAGGCCTGTGGGAAAGATAAGTATGCGTACTGTTGTATCAAGATTTCAAATTCTAGAGTGGTAACACGGTCTGCATCGTGTGGATGTTATGCAAAAGACTGTTTTATCTGAAAACACAGTCTTGGCCAAGATCCTACAATCATACCTCCACTTGATGAACTAAGCTGTCCAAAAGTTTTTTGCCTACAGGTAGTCCTCGACTTACGGCCACAATTGAGACTGGAACTTCTGCTGCTAAGCAATGTGGTTGTTCAGTGAGCCGCGCCTGATTTTATGGCCTGTCTGCCATAGTCATTAAGAGAATCACAGTGGTCGTTAAGCGAATCCAGCTTCCCCCATTGACTTTGCTTGTCAAAAGGCCCCTGAAAAGGTCACAAATGGTGATCACATGACCCGGAAATACATGCCAGTTGCCAAGCGCCCAAATTTTGATCACATGACCACGGGGACGCTGCAATGGTCCTAAGTGCAAGGAATGGTCGTAAGTAATTTTTATTGCTGCCATAACTTCGACTGATCATTAAACGATCAGTCATAAGTTGAGGACTACCTGTATGTGGGACCTTTTCCTCATTGCTGCAAAAATGCCAGAAAATCTGTAATGAATTTGAGCTTCTTGTCACATCGGAGCCCAAAACTAAGGCTAATTTTGGAACAAGCTGGGGTTTAAAACTTTCAGATTGCGGTAAAAGAACTGGCTTGTTCCAGATCTCACAATTTAGAATTTTCTGACTTGCATATAATGGGAAATGGGTTACTGGATGGCAAATGGGAATATCTGATAGTGTTAAGAAGGGAAGAGGACTGTACGTATAGGAACAAGATTCATTTGTGTATCATCTTATATTTCATTACATTTAAGCTAAGTTATGATTGTTCCATCTAAGTTGCTGAAAAGGATAATTCTACCACTAGCGGCCTCTGGTTTGGGACAGATGATTGTTTATAAACACTGCAAGTAAGAGGAAGCCTAGGATGTCATCTTTTTTCTTAAAAAGGAGCACCAAAGAAGTGTATGCCATTTAGGGTCCGCTATTACGCAATGCACCCCAATCTCAGATGGAGCATGCAGAGCGAGCTGTGAGTTTCCCACCGTTCTTTCACATCCACATAAGTAGCCACAAATGCTGCCATGTCTCCAATGTACAGTTACAACACTGATAAGTCACTATCTATGATTAATCTAACTGCAGCCTTGCGCATGACTCATTTTGATAGCCGCTGGGGGAAAAGAAACCCAATGCAAAAGACAGAGCACCCCGGCAGATATCAAAAGGAAATACCAATACTCTGCAGTTCCCAGTTAGCAGCTCCCAAGCCTGCTATGATTTCTTTGCAATTCCACCGTCAGCAACCAGCCAATCCAAGCGAGGATGCCAAGAAGACGCCAAACTATTTTTATGGAATGCCAGGGCAAGGAATCTCTTCTCTGAACCCCAAAAATGCCCAGTTTAGAACTTCCTAAAGTGTCATACACTCTCACTGGCTCTGTGGCTCAATTAAACCAATTAAAAGTGGAAATCTTTTGCGCTACTCATAATCCAGAGTACAATGAGAGAAAATCCTTCTCCTGTGCCTGGTGCAAAGCCTTCAGGAGAGGCAACCCTGAGTTCAAGGAGAGGTTAATTCACGAACCAAATAAATTTTTATGGACCTCTGGACAATACAGAAGTGCTTCCCCCTCCAGCTTTTTAAACCTTTGTTAAATCTGTGGCATAATAATATAATAGCTGTGCTTTTCATGTTAACTTATGCCCCCTCCTCCCTCGTGCGAGAAGAGATCACTTATGGAAACAGGCATTACCAACCGTGCACTGGGCACTTTCAAATGGGCGTTTGTACCTATCTTTTTAATTTTAAAAAAGGGGCAATTGTTTCATTATCTTGGAGAACGCTTCCAAGCCTCCCTTCGCCACTTTTACTCACACATCCACAGGTAATACAGCATTTTGCAAATCTGCTGATAGTCGGCTGGGATGTCCGCAGAGAAATCTTGATAGAAGCAAGGTTTGATGGGGCAATTCTTTGGAAGTGGGGGCCAATTGTTCTGTTTGGCTGGGGGGAGAAAAGAGAACACATTTTCTGGAAGGGCTTCCACCACCACACCTGGATTGGGATGCCTGCCCTGAGGAGAGGGTTTTTATTTATTTGTTTATTGTATTTATACAGATGCCCATCTCACACAAAGCAAAGCAGTTGGAGTAGATGTCCTCCTCCACATTTATTATTTTATTGGGGCGGGGGGAAGGCCTGCATTACTCACGGTTGAAGCCTGCCGCGCTGTTCTGCAGCTCGCGCTCCTTCCTGTCCAACTCTGCAGCTTTCCTTTCTAACTCCTCTTGCTGCTGCAGAAGCCCAGCCTGTGCTGCTGAGGCAACAGACTGAAGGCAAGGAGAAGCAATAAAAATGTATTAGAAAAGGGGAGGGAAGGCTCAAAGTAAAGCTTGGGGGCAGGCAGGGGTGCTAGCCCAGGAGACTGTATGTATAATCGTTTTGGAGTGGAGGCTGTGTTGCTTTCTACCTCTTAAAACAGTGTTTTCCAAACTTGGCAACTTTAAGAGGGGTGGACTTCAATTCCCAGAATGCCCCAGCCAGCATGCTCCTTGCAGAGCATTCTGGGAGTTGAAGTCCACCCCTCTTAAAGCTGCCATGTTTGAAAAACGCTGCCTTAAACGCATCTAGGCATTCGGCAGATCTAGCACTTTCCACTCTGACCCAGCAAACAGCTAAACAGTGGCACAATTAAATACTCATGTTTTAGCATTTTGGAAGAATTTGGATATCTGTTTCTAGGTTTCTCCAAGGAGCCCATGGGAGCTAAAAAAAATCTTTCAACACACACACACACACCCCACAGGCCCTCAAAATATATTGCCTTCCAGTGTTTTGTGACAAGCTTTCATGACTTCCTACAAAATTGCAGACCCACGTGCAAATGAAATAAAGAATTTCAGAGGTGCAGATCCAAGACCTTATTCAAATCTCTCCCTCTCTGTGAGCAAACACTGCCATTTCTCCTGCAACACATTCCTCTGAATCTCTAGGTCCTTGTCTCAAATATAATTCCAGCTAGCATTAAGCATCAGGAAAGGACTAATATTTCAGAAGAAAAAGGGGTTTTATGGACAGGAGGAGTAACATTGAAACATAAGGTAGGTTCCTCCCTCCCTCGCTTTGGGAGAAGCAATTACATTTCTAGAGGGAGGGGTGCAACGTTCTTCGGGTGGGATTCCTACCCTTCCCGTTTTACCTGGTGGTGACTCTGAGAGCTGCTGTCTTCTAGCAACTTCTGCCTCTCTGAACCTTCTGAACTTGCTGAGATGAATTTAGGAGTCAGGTACTTGCTGGCCTGTCTAAGCAGCAGCTGTAACACACAACTAGGCTTGTTCTAAGCTTATGGGACGGGACTGGTCTGCTAGCTTCTGGAACTGAGTAACTTGCACTCGAAACAGGTTAGGGAAGTAGGACAAGGGCAGGGGAAGAGAAGAACGTGCGTGGGAAAACAGACCACTAGCAATATTTAATGCATCTCTTCCTTCATCAAAATGCAACAACTAAAAGAAAATTAAATATCCCTCAGATTTTATTTTCTTTGGGGAGGAGATTCAGGCAGTCACTGTCATCCATGGATAAACTGATCCTCGTGAAGTTTTTGCAAACCTTTTCTTTGTGTCGTTAGTTTAAGCTGGGAATCAGGAATCTGTGGTTCTTGGCACACTGGATGCCAAACCCCATCAGCCCCAGCAAACAAATAAGAAGGTGTCTGGCAGGCAGGATACCTAAGACTGAAATGCTGAAGAGGAAGAAAAAGCCAAGGCAGTGAAGAAACTACACTGTGGGAAGCCCAAAGTCAAGGGAGCAAGAAGCTGAAATACAGAAGCGTGAAGGACGTACTGTGAAACAGGTAAGAGAGAGAAGCAAGGAATGAACCAAGGGGAACCAAGAAAGTTCAGGCAAAGCCCCTTAAATGGCCAGTATACTTCTAAAAGAAGAGAGGGATCTAGCAGGAAAACTCCAGGTCAGTAGAGTGAAATGAAGGTGACAGTGGCAGAAGGTTGGTTTAATCCACCCAGTTCACATGTTACATTAGCCTTCTTCCACTTGGCCCCTCCTCCAGATGTGCTGAGATCGCAGCTCCCAGAAACCCCTGCTAGCTATGAACCCTGGGAGTTGGAGTCCCAACCTAACCGGACGAGGGGAATGGCAAGGAGTGTTCCAGGTTGCTGAAGGCTGTGTTACATGTCCAGAACACAAACTTGTTTTTCCCTCTGACCTCCTCCTCATGAGCAGAGCCAAAAAAAATCCACAGAAAAGTATATTAAGATCCCATTTCTGGAGGTCTACCACCCTGATCAGCATTACATGGGCCTATTATGGTAGCAGGGATGGAATCCTGCAGAGACAGTATCCAATAACATAAGGAGTAAAGTGGGGGGCACACCTGTGGGGTGGGCTCCACAGAAGGCTGCAGCACAGCAGGTTGAGAGGCACCAGCAGGCTGTGTTGCTGGAACGGTCTGAGCTGCATTCGCCTAAAGAAGGAGGGAAATATCAGAAAGTGAGAGACAGAAAATCTCAAACCAACTCCCAGTTGCAGAGCATCAAGAATATTACTCCCAAGCTCCCACACAGGGACTCAGCCATGATAGCTCATTCAAGGCTGAATCTAACCCTGAACTTACCAGCCGAGAGTTCTCCGAGAATGGGTTGAATTCATTCAGATTACCTTGGTTAGCATTGGTCAGCTGGGTGACTGAAGGATCCTGGAAGAGAAGCAGAGAGGAGGAGGAGGAGGAATAGTGATACATTTCCTGGAACATGCCACTGGTGTATGTTTAATTTTAGATGAGGTTCTTGGACCCATTCAGTTTACGCCTAGAGGAAATAACGGGAAAAACAGAGGAAGGGAAGAATGTGGCGAAATGCCATCATATTTACTTCAAGATGGGTCAGAACAGAACAGCTTGTCCCAAGCTGCTGCTCTTTGGATCTACTGAATGGCCCACGTTCCCTTTTGACTCTGCCGGCTCAGCTTAAATGTAAGCTGCAATTCAATGCAACCTTAAGGCACCAGCTCTGGGGAGATCAAAGAAAGAAGATAAGCTGTGGGCTCAGTGGAAAAGGGATTGGAAAGAGAAGGCTAGGTTGGCACCACTTGAATACTGAAAAGACAAGAGCATTTTAAGGCAGCAGGAAACCTTCAGCCAACCTTCTGAGGGAGGGACAGCAGACATACATGGGATGCAACAAGAAAGATGAGGTTGGGAAAGGAAGGCATAGCTTTAAAAGTAAAGACAAGGAAATAATGGGAAGGGACTGCTGGTCTACCAGAACATTCAGGTCTAATACTGCACAGACAGAGCCATTTGGCAGCTCTTTATCCCATCATCCACAGCTCAGTTTGCCTATCACAGTAAGCTTTGCTTTGTTTGACCATCCTTTGATTTACTAAGGCATATTAGCTTGGGTCTTAGCATTAATCAGCAAACTATAGTTAACCATTCAAAATGGAGGTTCCCACCCATCCTGTAAAGACAGGTGGGCCATCTGCATCTGACAAGACCCTGTTTTGTGGCGACAGAAACCCTCTAACCATGACTGCTGAGAACCAATGGCATTCCCAGGTGGATAACTATAAACCCTAAAACAGGCACATCAGTTACAAAATGAAGAACATTCACAGAACTCCCCCAAATCCAAGTCCCACCAAATGTGGACATACCTACTTTGCCACCCTCACTCCCCCAAAGTAAAGGGGGCCCTTGGCCACCAATGCATTGCTCCTTCTGTGCAAAGCACAGCAAAAGAACCTCTATTACAGCTTAGCCCCATAGATGAACTCTGCAAGCTCCCATTTAATGAATAACTTCAGGCAAACAGTCCAGGTCCTGATACTCCCACACTAAGCATGTTGTCATACAGCTTTGTGAATCACTCTGGGGAGGGAAACAGGTGCAAGCAGCAGGTAAGGAAGCCTGGAACCCATCGCAATGTTGTTACTATGGAGGTGGCCTGCTGAATTCAGGGTGACTTGCCTGGAAACGAGCACGAATGCTTATCCTGCTGCTTTGCAAAATTCAGAAGCCGCTGCTGAGGAGCCCGAAAAGAAACCGATGGAACTCGACCAAATTCTTGGCACTAAGACTTCTCTGCCACCCAACCCAGAGCGTTAAATCGGATGTAGTTCTTCCAGCAAAGTCCTTCCATGCAGGAGGCTGTAGCATGGCAGGGATTCTTTGCGGCCAGGCCATGCTACAAAATGAAGCCTTCTTGCAAAACACTTGCTTTGGATGCGAGCTGCTGAGGCAACGTTGCCCCAAACGCGGCAAAGCATATTTACTACTGGTCTAGTTGAACGTTGCCTACATGGACGGGAAGTGCTTCTCTAGGACTTTGGCAACTCTAGCTGGAGAAGCCAAGATTTGAACGTAGGAACGTCTGTGGGCAAAACGTGCCATCTGTTTGAGAGATCCAATCGCTCCTTTGTGACTTCTTGTGCTTCGAAACCTCACTTCTTCCCTAAGCATTGTGGCTACATTTTGCCTAACGTGACTGCTTTGGAGATGTTATTTTGAGTGAACAGCTTAGTTTTTAATTACTGTATATAAAGTAAGGAAATGAAAACACGCCTGTAATCTATTCAAACACTTCAAAATCCCACTGATAGACAACTAGGATTTTACTCGTTTGCTAAGAAAGCAAATAACTGGATTTTGTGCCAGATATAAAAGACTCTCCAATTTGCAGAACGTAACAGAGCAGCCAGTCTTATTGACAAAGAGAATACTGGTTTTTCTGTACATGCCGGAAAAACGTGTAAAGCAGGAATCATTACATTTTAGTAAGGAATTTCATTAAATGATAGAAGAACATTAAATGTTCATTAATTCTTATATATAATATTTCCCCAAACACATTATAATTTTTCTATTGTTATATGTCCTAGAGATCATAATTAGAGCTTACGGCAGGGGTAAATTTTGATTTTAAAATTTGCAGTTCATCTTTTTCTGATTGATTAATATTCATTTTGATATTATTTAGCATTGGTTGGTACAAGGTGGTTCACCCACTAATCCCAAAGCACAGCTCCTGTGTGTTGCAACCTACAGCTTTCCTGAAGTACTTATTTGGGTTAATTTTTGTAGAGAGGCAAGTTGCTTGATGCATGGGATGGAAATAAAAGAGAACAGCATGTACTGAAGAACATCTACTAAAGAAACAAGCCACAGGGAAGATCCGTATCATTCAACCCTCTAGCTAAGTCCTGGATTGAAACTTCACAGAAATGTTTCCCTTCAAGCATTTTCTCTCCTTCTCCCTCACTTGAAGAACAGCAACTTCTTTTGTGGGACCAAAGATAAGGGGGGGGGACCCACAGAGAAACTAAAACACCCACCCCATTCAAAGACTTTATATAAGTGCCCTAAGGATCAAGATAGCCTCGGGGTAGGGTGGCCCCTGTTTTTCTTGGGTGAATTGTGTTTGCTTTTCCTGGTTTCTATTGTTCTTTAGAATGTAAGCTGCCCAGAGTCATTTGGCTTCTGAAATTAAACAAATAAATGAATAAAATAAGGAAGCCCATAGACCCTTTTCTTAATCTTTCAACTAAAGTTCCCAATAGTCCCAGACTCTTCATATTTTCATTGAGATCATGGTTTAGGGTTTTCTCTACAAGGATGCAAAGGTCTGTAGAGAGCACAGAGCAGTGTTTTTGCCAAATCTGAAAAACACTGATATAGAAGATGACCTTGACAGAGAGAGGAGAGAGCAAAACTTTTTTGGGGGGGGGGTCTGGCTACAACATGGGGTTGACATGGTCTGATTCACTGGAAAGCAATACCAAGGTCTGGCTCAAAATACCTGTCTCCATAGCTGATTTCCCCAGCTATGGCCTCTACTTGTAGGGCTAAAAGTCAACTGAGTCAAATGGATCATTGAAAGTACTCCAAAACAGTGACTTTAAAATGATTATATTTTAAAGTTTGATTATATTTGATTTCCTTGACCAAGGAGATACCAGTTCCTTTGGAGAAAGTAAAAAAAAAAAGTTAATGTTAAGGCCTTTAAAAAAAATTAAAAAGGGAGAGAGGGGAAGAGAACCTAATAATATTAATACTGAAACATGGATTTCACTGAATATAGACTTAAATCTAACTGACGGGACAGGTTTTTTTTAAAAAACCAATTAGACACCAGAACCCTAGATTCTGTTTTAAGTACCAATAAAGCTTATCATCATAGGAGAAGCAGCGTTCTGAAAAAAACATCATGGGGCAGGCTGAACAACTTGAAAGGCTGCTATGTGATCGGCAGCTTTACTGAAATCACAGAATCCTCCCTTCGGTGAAAGGAGAGGAGGAGGGCTGCAAATTGCATCAGCTATTTTGTCACACCAAGTTTGCCTAAGTGTGAAAGCTTGACTTCCGGAACAGGTTGGAATAGGAGCCTCTATCCCATGGGGGAGGTGGTGTGGCGCCAACACCAGGATGCCTCCAGACAATTTTCTTAGTGGGCAGACTACCCGCTCCAGAGGATGTTTTGAAATCCTTTTTTTTTTAATTAAAAAAAAAACAAACTTTAAAAGGAAGCTGTGTTGCAAAACAATCTCCTAGCATTGTTTTAATTTGTAAATGTGTCTTCAGGCTTCACAAGAGGAACTGTGAATTCACCTTCAGGTTAAGGGAGGTTTTGTGACTGCCAGGACATATCCTGCCAGCTTTTGTTTTTCATTTAAGCAAGTCTTCCAGAACAACTATGGTGTAAAGGCCTCTACCACGCCCTCTCTAATGGTTACCTACCTGCGTGGTGTGCCACAGAGACTTTCCCTACAATGCTTGGGAATCATTCCGTTATGTATTACAAAGCCTATGCAGAACACCATAGGAAGCATTAGCCGCTGCCCCACACTCACACACCCAGTTCAACAAGATTAGGAGCTCAGAATCCAGCTGCCCACTCCCTTAGCAAACAAAGAGACGTTTCAAGGATGGACCAAAAAAATCTTTTTATTAAGATTCAAGCTGCATTCTAGAAATGGAGAAACTCCCCGGGGGATTTACTCCCCACCAAGCAGCTCTAAGACAACAAGGACTAGCAACTTCATGACTTCAAAAGTTAGGGAGTAAAGGACACGCGGTAGCAAAGGAATGCAGCAACCTGTCAATCAACACAGGGTGCGAAGCCAGCTAAATTCAGGACACTTTGTTTTGAGACTAGACGTGCTCCACCAGGCACGGCTGCAATAGCTGGTTCAGCCCAATGCTGACTTCCTGAGGATACGGATATGTTCTGCTCAATCAGCTGTTTGGCGTTGCCAGGAAAAGAGCAACCACAGGCCAGGAAGGGCTATCAGTCACCCGCAATTCTGTGAATGGAGGACATGTCTTTGGCCCAGATACAATATGCCTTTAGGAGCACAGAAATGTGTTGGATACAATCACACGGAGGCCAGAACTTGGTTTGAGTGGCTTCCTTCAGGGTTCCAGTGTTTCACCCTAATGCCTGTCATTTTGTAATGATGTGGTAAAAATCCATGTAATCGTATGACAGGCTGTTCACGCAAAGCTCAAACTACTTTTACAAGGCTGACTTCATGTGGCAAACAGGCCTTTGAAAAAGAAACTGTGAATTTTAAGAAAGCAACTGCCCCACCATCCATGCCCACCCATTCAAAGGGTCAAGCTTCTTCTACCCACTACTGGCTCAACACACCATTCCTCTGAATCTTACCAAAGAAAGGCTAGAGCCCTTCAAGATTCCCCCCCCCCTTCTGGGAAAAAATACCAGAGTTCAGTGAAGCTTAATTCTAAGTAAACATCCACAGGATCAGAGTGCAGATCATCTTGCTTGCAATCTGTATATTGAAATTTATGAATGCTGTAATTTAAGATTAAAAACATAATTCTGTTACTTTCTAAGGGTTAGAACTGAAGCTGGTTAACTGAAAGCCTATTAAGGCTCATTTGTACTCAGTAGAAGGGACTGACTTTCCAGTGGAAATGGAACAGCACAATCCTATTTGTGATTACTAAGAAGACAGTATTCACTGTACTTGATGGGACTCACTCCCTTGTACACATGTTTAGGAGCTATGCTCATGTCATAACAGAAAGCTCACTATATAATTTCATATTGGATACTGTTTTTCTTCTGCCCCCTTTTCATAAAACCGAGTGTCACGAGTTATGAACCAGTAGGGCTGATGGTGTAAGAGCAACTGGACCAAGCAGCAGTTGAAAACCTACAGGCTAATCTCAGAAGTAAAGCAATATGGAAATATTACTCTATTAAATGCAATTCAGGCAGATCTACAGTTTTCAAATAATGTAAACTTTATAATGGTAATATTAGTGCTGAAGTCCATCTCATTAGATTAAAGGTTTTCCAGTGTTGTAAATTCACGTTTGTCATTTTTCTAAAAACACGCCTAAAAGATCCTAAGCATTGTATCAAAAGATACAAAAATATCTTCCTACAAGCTCACAGTCTAGAATAAAATGTATTTCACAAGTGGAAATGCTACATTACACAAAATATCTGAAGCGATAACACAGTACATTCTTAAAAATTTCTTCTAAAACCTATTGTCAGAGCTCTCAGAGAAAAAATTGCAACATGGCTGTAGTGCCTTTGTTAACAACTCCCATGTCATGAGGAAGAAAAGCTAGTGAATTAAGAAAAGCATTACAAACAAATTCCAGAGTACAAAAACTGTGACTCTTTGAAAGTGATATTAAAACAAAAAAAATCTTTCCCTCCCCCAAACAATAAAACAGAAGTTCTTTCTCCCAGCTACTAAGTTCTAAGGCTGGACTAACTTTCCCAGACAACGCTAAGCAGAAGTGGGAAGATGCAGCAACCATTCTAATGTGTGTGTAAAGGAATTTATTGCTGACCTTGGAGAAGGTATGAAAGAGCAATTAAGGAGGACTTGGAGAAGTTACACAGTCCAGAAATTGAAGGAAATATGGGAAAGAATAATCCTGCCTGGATTTACTATGAGACAGAGAGCAACTTGGATAAGCTTTCAAGATTCTGCAATTATACAATATCCTACAACAATAAAGTAGCATTCCTAGAATCCCTGCTCTGTTTCTTGAGCTGGCCTACCTCAAAGGGCTGCCAGCATGCACAGAAACAATCATGCTATCACACCTAGGAGATCATCATAAATTTTAAATTTTCATCCCACTTCCTTCAGAGTGCCAAAATGGGAGTAATTTTATTTTACCCTCATCCTAAATCCATAAAGTAAGCCAATATAGGAAAAAAGATACTGAGAAACTGGTCTTGGATAGGAAATTTCTACTCTTCCTCGTTCTAAATAAACGTATTATCAAGAGTAAACTTTTAAAAAATAATATCTGGAATAAGGTCTGTTCCATCGTTAGCTACTTGGAACAACAAACATCAAAGCACCAGATGTTAATGCTATCCAGCAGAATTATGAGGAAAGCAATGGGAAATGCATTTTAAAGCTGTAAAATCAAATGAAAAACAAATGAAATCAATTCTATACCAGACTATGAATAATAACATTCTTACAGCAGAGTTTGAATTATTACTCGTATTTAACAAACACATATTTCATACTTATTTAACATATTTAAAAGGTCATGAGCAGGGTACCAAAAAGTTGAAGAAAACCTGGAAAATAGGCCAGGAAGTATCTTAGCAAAGCAGAACAAAGAGCAGCAAAAGTTTGCAGAGGTTCTGCAGCACAGTCCCAAAAGCTAGCTAATATTTCAAGGAGAAAAATTGTGACAATTATGTAATTATGTAGCTCTGCGCATATATAACTTGCCGAATAGCCATTTCTCTGATCAGGGGGCCTCAAATTGCAGATCTAAGCCTCCTCCACAATCTTTTGTTTATTATTCACCTCCAAGAACTAGTATCCTTTTTGTGTTATATTATATACCCAACAGAGGAAACAGTATTTCTATACTGGTCAAATGAGCAACTTAAACACATCTGACCAACCTATTTAGCACAGCCATTTTTACATTTTATCTCTTCTCCCCCCCCCTCAATCTTTCTCCAAGAAGCTCAGGGCAGACAGTGCAATTAAGCTCTTCCTTTTCAAGCTCCTAGTTCAACACCCCCATCCTTCAGCTGGTTTAACCCAGTGCGCTACACCACTGTGTGCTAAAATAGAGATGGGTAGTTTGTGGCTCACAGTGTTGCAGGCTGTCATGTTAAAGTGCAAAATGGCTTATTTGCTCCAGCGCTGCATATTATGGGAATGAAAGCAACTATATTTTTATTCCTAGGGCCAGTGTTAAGCACACTACATTCACCCAACTAAAAGCTATAGCTCACAGCCAGAGAGCATAAAATGTCTAAATTAGCTAAAACCACAAAGAATGTTGGAGACAAACACATTTCTTACCTACATTGGGTTGAGTGCAGTGACCCACAATGCTCTTAAATGTTGCTTTGGCTGTAAGAGACTAACATGGCTACTTCTTTGGGTAAATCAGTTAAGGAAACAGTCACACTTTTCCTGGAAATTAGATTCACTAAATAATAGCCACATTTTATTTGGGGGGGGGGGCAGCGTTTGCCTCTAGTTTGGCCGCTGTGAATGCCAGCACTGAGTTCCTGAACAGGCCAGGAAACCAAGGCTCAAATCCAGACATGATGGCTGGCCTTGGTTCTGCCACTGTTCCTAAGGCCACTTTTCCTCTGCAAGCGGTTGGGTTAAAAAAGGGAGCGAAATCTAAATGCGAAGCGGCAGCCGAGCCCCTGAAAAGGGCTAAGGGGGGGTTCCAGGGCTGCCAACTGGCACCCCCCCCGGCCCAGGCCCATGAACCCCGCTGCAGCCCCTTCCCCCACCCTCGCCGACCCCGCAACAACCCCCCCCCCCGGGGGCGGGGGGTGTGCGGGGGGGTTCGTCCCCTCCCCCCCTTGGGCCGCCGGGGGGGGGGGGGG